AAATATATTTATATATACAATGCATATATTTAAACATATATTTCACAATAATAAAACAATAAAAGGTACGTAAAGACACATCTGTACCAAAAGTCGGCACTGCCGTTTGTAAAATTCAAACAACTTCAACCTCAGCTGAAGCACGACGAGAAACTGTGGAAATCTTAAATAGAATCCTGCCGCCGAAAGAATGGGAAGAGGATGGCCAAATATGGACACAACGTGTAAAAGATTAGAAATTCTTAAAAAAAAAAAAATTAAATTTATATTTTTTCAATTATGTACGATAGTCTGCCAGTGCAATGAGAGACATGTATGCTACATATTATTTAGGTTTCGAGTACTCCTGCAACAAGATTGGATGTAATAAATTTACAGGAGCAACTCGATATGCGATTACAACAAAGACAGGCTCGAGAAACCGGTATTTGTCCCGTTCGTAGGCAACTTTATACGCAATGTTTCGGTATATAAGATTTAATTATAAGATATAATACAAAGTGTTCAATTATGATCAACGAAGTCCACATCAATATCTTTGAAATTAAATTAGATCTGATATTTTTTTCATGACGTGTTATGATTTCGAGAAAAATATGGTTTTCCCACAAAGCCACAAAATACTATAACAAAGATATTGGATCTAATTTAGATTTCAGGATATTTGACTCCATTGAATATAATATGACACATTCTATACATAAAATAAAATAAAACAAAAATTTAAATGTATTTTCTACATATCACTAATCGCGTTTCAGATGAGCTAATAAGGCAAGTAACAGTAAATTGCGCCGAACGTGGATTACTTTTATTGAGAGTAAGAGACGAGATTAAAATGACATTGGCTGCATATCAGACATTATATCAAAGCAGCATTGCTTTCGGGATGCGTAAAGCATTGCAAGTATATATCTTGATATATTTTTAAGTAAAGACAAATATATTTGATAAATTTTGACGGCAGACGTGATCTGTAAAATTCAACGTGTACGAATTAATAAGACTTATTTTTATGTAGGCCGAACAAGGCAAAGAAAATTTGATTAATACAGCCGAGGAATTACGATTGCAAAAAATCGAATTGGAGAAAATGGTTGCGGAATTAAGACTCAAGTTCGATCAGGCTGAGAAAAGATCGGCCGAATTAAGGGAAGCGGAGGAAAAGAAACACATGGAAGAAGTGCAGTTCCTTAAAAAAACAAATATGCAATTAAAGGTAAGAATCCGTGTGTATGTATTATTTTTAAGCCCAACTGAGATAAGAAAGTGTCTTTATTTGTTATTTATAAACTTATATTAAACTATCTATCAAGCTTAATTATTATTTCGAAAAATATTACCATGTAGAAAAATTGAATTTTCAGACTCAGTTGGAAGGTATTATAGCACCGAAAAAATAAAAAGCTCATATGTGAAAAAAACTGCCATTAAGAACGTGTATAAAATGTAGCTATATTTATATTTAAACAGGAATGAAAAGGTTTACGTAAAACTCTAATAAATATACATCCTATATTTGTGAATAAACTAATAATAATTTTATTGCAGGTAGACACAAATTATTTTATTTTTTACATAATATTCTTATTATTTTTTGACCTAAAACTTGGCAAAGTCTTAAAAAATACATTATTGTTCCATACCGCTTAGATTTATAAAATTTCAGTGATGCAGAAAATGAATACAAAGTATAGACATATAAAATATAGACATACAAATAATATATAATGTAATTACAAGATCACATATATAACGGTAATTATAAAGAAGCTAAACAAGCAAATTAAAGAGACGAATTATATATAAAAACTAAAAAAATTTTTTACTCTGCACAATTATTTATACTTTGTTTAAATTTAAAGATATTTCAGCACCAAAATATCTCTATTTTTGAACTTTAACAGATAAGAACCGTATTTCGCACAATTGTCAAAAATAAGCTATACAGATTAAGTATTCGAAGCTTCCTGAATGTTTTACAGTTTTCGCCATTGATGCAAAAACTAAATTAAGGAAAGAAGCAGCGAAGTAGGAGACGAAATGCATATAAAAAAAGAATTATTTTGTATGAGATAATAGATATTTTAACGAGATACATAATTCTTATGTGAAACAGTTAACGTTGGCACTTTTAAAATATTTTCGAACATCGATAACATTGAACATTGTTATTGATATTAATAAACTTGGATGCTGGGTGGTTAAAGCGACAATCCGATCAAGGAAATTAGTGAAACGGAATCTGGATTTTTTTCTCTCCGTTCAATTACATTCGTACGTGACGCTCTATTAGCTTAGTAAAAAACATTTTTGATCTCCATCCCCAACATCCAAACTCTATCTGTAATATAATGTCTTTCAAGTGCCTCTGCTGCGGACAGCAAAGTTATGATGAACCCACTTAATTTCACTTATTGGTCCCTCGTTCTTAATCGCACTTTAAACCGCGGTTAATCGCAATTTTATTTAATTTCGCTCTTATTTACATTCATTGGAAAAAATCTATTTGCATTACCTATTGAATAAATATGTATTAATCGCATATCTTTTTTTCAATAATTAAACAATAATGTAAATACTTGGTATAAAATAATATTCTTAAATCTAAAATGTCGGACTGATACGGTGTAATTCGATAAACAAATATATATATATATATATATATATATATATTGTGTGGATGATAAATTATATATAAATATGTAAAGTGTGATGTCTTAAATTCTTTATAGTCTCGTACATATATATAATATATATATACTACTGAAAATATATCCAAGATAATAAAACTGTGTACTACATATATGCAAAATTTGTTCCGATTATATCTTGAAACCATCGAACTATAATTGTAAAAATCTACATTTGCTCTTGATGTTTTAGTGACTCCTCAATGTTGATAATTCGCATTAAAGCAAATCAAAATTTGATTTTTTTTTTTTTTACTTTTGACTGTTACGGATTTACTATTTTTATAATATAATATCTATTACAGATCAGAATATCTTCATAAAACATATATTAAAGTCAAATAAATAAAATATTTTACATACGCAAGATATAGATCCTCGATCAACTTAAAGCCTATAACATTGTCTCGATATTATATTTTACATGATATTCGCGAAGTAATTATAGAAATGATAATTTTAAAATACGCGTAATTTTCTTTAGCACATTGCAATAAACATAAATAATTAATATAAGAGAATGGACATTATATAAGATATTATAATGCACGTAATTATATAAAACGTAGAGCCTTATATCCGTAACATTATAATTGCATGGTTTTATCACATCATTTGTATATCCCTTTAAAAAAATCATAAATATTCTCGAGGAAAGTTGGACGAGAGAAAACGAAAGTGCACGATTTTCACTATGCGTATAAAAATGCAATTATGCTTGACGATTTTTTGTCAATACAAAATAGCTTTCCTGTGTCTTTTGCTTTACAAAAAAAGATCATGTTTTCGTACATATCCTCTATTATAAATTAAATTAGATTATACGCAAAAAATTATCCAGGAAATAATAATTAAGAGGCATAACATAAGATGTCATGGAATTTTCCATGCTATTATTTGTTACTAGGATATTAATTACCTTTTCACCTTTTTAAACTTTCATTTTTTTCCTTAAACTTTATTTTTATTTTACACCTCGTAAATCTCGAGTTAGCAAAATTTTAAGTATATTGAACATGAGATACGTGTAAAGTACTTGTAAAATATATCAATAATATAATGTATAAATGAAAATGCAGTAGTGTGTGTGTTCAACATTAAGATATACCAATCTGTATTACACCCGTTCGATTTATAAAACTACGTCGTATACATATGCGATACACATATAGGATAAATAAAAATGATAATTATAAATCTGTACACAGACGATATGAAAGTATCGTATTTACTAAACCAATCACGAAGTTTTGTGTGTAAGCATCTATATTTTTCACCGAATACGTCTATGTAAAAAACCAGGCTGCTATTTTTTGTTTATATATGTAAGATTTATTATATTTATCTGTGAGAAAAAGGAAAGATATAAAACGCGCGCAGGTACATATATCGCAATAATACGTACCGATATATTGGAAATCTAAAAGTGATCGATTTCGCTTTCGAATATACACATATGTGCACGTATATGCATATACAATTCATTTATGTAGTATAAATGTATATAATTGTAAGCAATATTAAACACACATAATTTGCGTGTAATAGTCGAATATTGTAGTAACACAAAGGTTGTTATTCAGATATATATATAACATCAATGTTTCATACCTATTCTTTAAAATGCACATTTTTTGTCAGTGACGACCTTTCTTCGATCGCTTTCGTTTCTTCTTCTTGGTAGAGACGACGGTGATGCTCGCGTCCGTTTTAGCACTAGTGACTTCAATCGCGTCGGTCGTGGTATGAGAATCTGTTTTTTTTTCTTCCGCGGTGCTAACGGCGATATTTTGTCCCGCGGTATCTTCGCTCTCGCTGCCGGCGTCGCTCACACTTTCCACGTCGTCTTCCGCGTTACTTAATTCTAACGATATAATCTTCTCTCTCAAAGTCTCCACCTAATTATGAAAATGCATACATTGTTATTAATTTGATCTTATCTTATTTTTCACATTGTATGTTACGGCGTTTATAGGGGATATATATTTAAGACAGTACGAGTGTGAAGTTCTTTTACAAGGCTTACAACGGCGACAACCTAAAAATTTTGCGATATCTAAAAGCATACATTAAAATACAGGATACACATAGGCTGAATAACGCAGTTTATGTTGCATGTACTCTAGAATGTATATCACTTTACTCCGGAATGTTTACAGAACGAGAGAGTTCAACTCCAGAAAAAAATACATTATTCGTCCTATGCTCCTGGACTTTTTTTAAAGAATAATAACTTTGCTGCATTTCTATATGCCATGGAAAGCACATCTAGAGTGTAAGACATGCGAGTTAATCTGTGCACACAAAACATACAGATGTGTAGCCGTAAGCTTAAAAAATATGCGCATAAGATATAAAAACCAAATTACCGATAAAATTCAGGTAAAAGTTGTTAGTTAGATCAGTAGAAGTGACATTCGTAGTTCAAGGTGGTGCGTAACGTACCATCGATGTAAGCGATGGACTCTTGAAACAATAAACACAATAATGTTTCAACAAATGATAAACATGACATTTGGATGCATGAAAGCGTAGATAAAAAAAAAAATTTTTTTTAAACGTTTCTACTAAAATGTATATTTTTATGTGAAGCCTACTGAATTTAATCGCTCGTTACTTTCTAACATTGCGACCAACGATTCGCTTCCCGTGTTAATATTACCGACAACAATTTTTAAGCAATCCGGATATAAGATAGAGTTAATATATCATAAGCTTGCAACAAGCTTCCCAAGATGTGTGCAATCTGGCATAGAATAAAACCCATATTTTTGTACCATAAATTGAAAAAAAATAAAATAAAAAGAAACAAGGAGTACGTATTTTCGAGTAAATATGGTGCACTGTAGAAATCGTTGCAATAGTGATGATTTGTAATTGTGCTTTCTTTCTCTCTCTCTCTTTCTTTTTCCTCCATTGAAATACGTGTATGTGGTACTTTAATCGCTGATGCGAATCTTTAGAAGGTATAATACCTGACGCTCAATGAGCTTTTCGACGTATTCAACAGTTCGTACACGACGTTCACCCGTCACCTCGTCTAGATATTCCTCGGTACGCCGAGTGACCTTCTCGTCCACTACTTTCTCAGATTCGCGTATCTCTTTAGGGGGACCCACTTTACTGCGCACGGCGAGTTTAGGGAAATCCGCGCTAGAAGGCCGTAACGTAGCGAACTAAGGTGGCAAAAGACAGACAAATGGGAACCGTTGTAATAACAATGAATTTTCTCTTACTTGATGAATGTTATGTTAATTAAAGGCGAGCAAGGATAGCGATTAGTATACGCGGTCGCGAGTTAAACACACAACTTTGAAACGATCTCAAGCTTGTTATGTATATGTGTGTGTTAGATTATTAAAAATAATTAATTCCCTCTTGCAAAGGGGTAGAGGAATACTCTTTCTATAAGATACTTACTTCGATTGTCTTCTCTTGATCGGAAACAGGATCAATTGTATCGGCCGTGTCGTGCGTTTCTTCGCTTTTATTAGCGGTGTCCATTATCTCGCTCATCTTTTTGATCACCATCTGTGCTTGAAGTGCATCCTACAAACAGAAAAAAATATTCAATAACGTATCTTGACAATAAAAAGAACAATTAGCTATTATAACTCGTTAATATATATATCTATATACGCACGCGCACACAGAGATACAGACACACATACAGCGGGTTTTCAATTTTACCTGCTCGAGAGATTTAAGACGAGCTTGTCGCCAAGCGGCGCGTTTCTCCGCTTTGAGCGCTCGCTGTTCCGCGGGGCTCAGAAGATGTTCCTCGTCTTCGTCCGAAATAAGGCCCTGATAAAGAAAAGAAGAAATTTCGAATATAACAAACATTTTGCGAACAGAGTGATTATAATAATTTATGGTAGATCCAGTAGGTCGAGAGTGCTCTGACTCTCTCCTCTTCTCAAATATATAATTATTTTTTTCATAATTTTAATCAAAACATTTTCATGAAAAACATTATAATGTATTGTTTATCGAAATAATAGATAAGTGTCTATCGTGAGAGATATAATACCTCTTGTATTAACCGTTCTTTCAAACGACGTTCCGCTTTTGCTGTC